AATCATCTAATTGGCATTGTTCTATGATTTCATACGAGTGAATATACATAATACACTATATCAGTCTTTGAAAGATCAATAGTGTTGATTAGAAATGATAATTTAATTTACTTTAATTAATTCCCTATTTTCATTATTTTACTTCGGAAAAAAGAACTTCGTCTTGAAAAAGTTAATAGAGCTTACCGAATTCCGATTCCGAATGAAACTAATAGATTCTATTCTAGTGTCTATAATGACAATCGGATGTAAATACTATCATAAATGAGAGTTAAAGATTTCGTTTGAATCAAAGCGAATAGAAATGAAAAAACTTGATTAAATTTATTATATATAACAAATTTTATCTTAGCCTTGGAGTTGAATTCGTTCAATAGAAAATTTTTTGATTTGATTGAAGGCCGACTCATGAAGAATCGATGGACTCTAGTTGAGAAGATAATCGATTTGATTAATAATTCGAGAAATAGGCTTTGTTTCCTTGTTTTGAAGAAGAAGAAGAAGAATACCTCTACCTTACGGTATGAGGTGCTGCCTGGCGGCATTATTCAATAGCCTGATATCTTCTCTATAACTATGAGTATCTGTAGCTCTGAACAGAAGTCCAGCTTGACCCAAACTTCTTGTACTTCATTGCGTGAGTTCTCCATACATCCTAGCTAATCATAAGAGCAGATGTATGTCACAACGTAGTCAGAATGCTTTCGGACGGGCGATCCGAAACAAATAGCTGTTAGTGACTTGTCGAAAGTCTGATGGTACTGAAGTTTGCACATAGCACCTTGTGGATACATGTCGAACAACATAACCACTCAACCTTAGTGGTCATTTCCTTGTTTTGAATAGTTGAGATCTGAAATATTGCACATGCGCAAGGACATTTTTCAATATTGGTAAATTTTTTCAGTGAAAATAATTCAAGTTTGAAGTATTAAATGAAAATACTATGTTAGAAATTTCAGGCTTAAACTACGAAAACAAAAGAAGAAAAATGAAGAATGTTTCCTGATTAAAAAAAAATGACATAAAGATTGTTAGTCACCTTTTGTTCCACACTAATTATCAAGAATTTAGCTCTTGTTAGATTGTGAATAACATCTTTTTATTTCAATTCCAGCATTTATAACGGAAATGCACGAAACAGGTTACTAAGAACATTTAAATTATAATCATATAAAAGAAATTTAAACCTTGATTGATCAATTCATCATTTCGTATATCAAAACCTCTGTTCTCGAGATCTAAATTTCGATATTTTGAAATTAATACTAAATAATTTATTTTAATAGGGTTTCAATGCACTTTTTAGTGTTGCTTTAGCTTTACTAAAGGTATTTATAACATTGTTTATTGAATTTGAATTTATGAAAAATTGTTTTCTTTTTCTTTGATTAATATAGTTCAGTCAAAAAGATCTATTATCACTTGATTTTGAAGGTATTATGAGATTTTTTCGTGTTAATTTACCGAAAAAATATCGATCTGAAGATCATGCTGATGAACTTATTCAAACAGCTTCTTCAATGAAGGTATTTTCGAAGAAAAAAAAAAAAAACAAAACCAAACAAAGTGATTATATTGATCTAATTAATATGATTTTTCTATAAATAGATTAATGTGAAAAAATTAAAACGATATGAAAAAGATTATTATATGCGTCGAGCTGAAGAAGAACAAGGAGAATTACCATTGCAACGTCTTGAAGCTGATAATAAACGTTTAACTGAAACATGTATGCGTTCAGAATTAGAAAATGAAATGCTTGCACTTGAATTAGTTAATGATCGTGTTAGACTTAAGAATAATCTTGATCAAGTTTGTTTCTTTTCTTTTTCCAATATATCAAAATTTTTTTTTTTTATTTAAATAAAATATTTAGGCTGAAGATCGAGTGGAAAAATTAACAAGAGAATTACAAGCTACTCGATCAATTGTAAAAGAAAGTGAACAACATACATTTCGATTAAATGACGAACTCGAAAATGTAAAATTAAATTGAAAATCATTTGTTCTTTTTTTGATTATTTTGTTTCATTTAGATTCGAGATGCTTTTCGACGTACATGTAATGAACTTCAACAAACACAAAAAATTGTGACAGAATATAAACAAGTAAAATATTAAAATAAGATATTATCAAATGATCTTTCTTTTTTTTGTTAAAGATATGTTCACAATTAAATGGTCAATTAGATAAACAAAAAGAAAGATATAAAAATAAAATTGAAACAATTCAAGTAGATATTAATTGAATTTTGTTTTTTTTTCTTTCGAGAATGAATACAACTAGTGATCAATACTTATTCGTATTTGAAGAAAAGATTACATATGTAATAGTGACGTTTTTATGTATTCCCGTTCGACATTAATATCCACGTCAAAATTAAAGAAGTGTGGATGTAATCTCGATAACAAAAGCAATTAACGATCTGTACTTTTCAGAAGTTCAAAGAGGAAAACTCTGGACGTCTTTTCATCTAATACTATTTAAGACAAAACTATTTTAAAGCCTATCAACTTTTCAAAAAAGTTGTTAGCACAATCTCTATGGAATTAAAATGTGAAACACGATGTAACTGTTGTTACTAATCACGAGAGTATTGTTTTATTCAATCTATCTTGGGACTCATTTTTTCATTATCACTTAATTAATCCTCTAGAACTACAAGAAGGAAGCAGTTCATATATTCTCATGAGATGCTAGTGATATATGATCGCTAATGGTGTATCAAAAACATCTGTCACGGTCTGTAATAGGTTTGGAGACCGTCTGTGGAAGTGAGTCCAAATTTCTATCCCTATGCACTTCAATACTCCTTTTAGATCGTGTTCCACAAAAAATGCGTGAGAACGGTGGTTCATTTCAAGAAAATTTGCTAAAAATTAAAAGAATTTTATATAATTTGACCAAATAGATACATAATTTCGTTTGCTCAATATTAAGATATGAGAAAATAATCATCTAAATCGTGTCTTGAACGATAAATCTGTAGTTTCTTCTATTAGAAGCACATGCCACAATCAAAATTATATCAAAACGGAACACCATTTTCATGCGTTTTTTAAATTTTTTTTGTACAGATGATGAGTTTTGAAAAAAAAAATTGTCTTATATAGTATCAGACAAAAAGACGTCTGGAGTTCTTCTCTTTCGATTGTTGAAAACTATAAGTCGCTAGCTATTGCCTTTATCGAGTTATTAAGGTTACACTCATCACTCTTGAGTTCTGGCAGGGACATTAATCAATACTCATGTCTTTTTTAAGCCAAAAGAATCGTTTCTTTCATACAAAATATCGTTAAAAGCTGTTGTTTTACGAACTTCGTATGAAAGTGCTCGGAGATCATGTGATTACTTAGAGGATAGAAATGTTTCAAGATTATCATACTCCAAGCGGTTTTGCCTTAGCTTCTATCATGAGTTTTCGATAACTAAGGATAGGAGAGAGATTCAGCATAATCCAACAACTATTTGTATGATTTTTTTAGTAGCTCCTATTACAAAGGAGAAAGAGCTGAAATAAGTTTTTTTTTCTACATTAAAAAGCGAAGGATGGAGACTTGCTTTTTTTTTTTAATTTTCTGCCAACCGCACCAAACAAAAATTCAAGGAAATCAGAAAAATGGAAAGCATAATTTTTTCGTGTAATTATTATAAACTTCGTTCTCTAAATCTGTGCATTGTCTTTTGATAGCCAGCTTCTGTCAGCAGTCTTAAATTTTAAAAATTAGACGTTTTCAATAACTGACTGATTTGATTTCTTTATTTAAAACTGATAAAAGAAAGTAAAAAAAAAAACTGTTAGCTCGTTCTCTGCGATATTAAAATGCGAAAGACGATGTAGTCGTTCTTGTTATTCATAAGGAAATTGTTTTATTCTATCTAGTCTGGAACATATTTCTTCACCATCCTCTTACTTAATCCTTTACAAATGCAATAAGGAAGTAGTTGATTTATTTTATAACGGAACGTTATTTATATACGATCTATAATCGTATATGAACAAACGTCGGTCACAGTTCGTACTGTTCTATTAGAATGATTGAAATCTTTTATATTCACCCATTAGAAATTCACTAGTTTTCAGCTGATTGACTCCAGAAATTTGAAGAAAAGTCTTACGATATTTTGATCGAAAAAAAAAGTTTGTTTTTTTTCTACGTTGTGCGAACAATCTAATAAAAAAAGTTGGCAATATATCATTTTTTTTTGAATATATGCGCTGAATGTCGATTATTACTTAAGTAACTTTTTTTTGTATCTGAAATTTCTCGAGAATGTTTTCGTAAAAAAGTTCATCGATAGAAGATAAACTAAACTGAAAAATCATAGATTACAAGTTGTATTTCTTCTCAAGGTAATTTTCAATCTAATTAAATCAACTTTTTTTTTTTCTTATTATTCAGAATGTTTGTTGTAATTCTTGTAACAATTTAATACTTGGAACAGTATCTCCACCATCAAGTGTAATATCAACACCTGACCATGAAAAACAAAATGATGATAATGACGATATTTTACCAAGAATATCATCAGTTCCATCATCGATTACTGATCGTTTACGTCAAGTTGAAATTGAATTAGCCGAAAAAAAATTAGCACTTACAGAAGCATTATGTAAAAATCAAGAACTTGCACATCAACTTCGACATTCAATATCAACAGCAAGTGATTCAGACACAACTTCAGTTAATAGTCTTCGTGGTATTAGTAATAATAATAGTTCAACTGTTAGATGGTTATCAAAAACGGTAAATTCAATAAAAGAAGCAGCTAGTTCAACAAATCGAACAAAAACAAATTAAACATTTATTTACATTTTATGCCATATTCCAATATATTTCTATATATTTTTTTTAATTTGATCTTGTAAATCTTTAATTATTGTTGTTTCTCTTTTTTTTTCTCTTTTGTGTGCAATATATATATATATATATACACCTTTACGTTCGTATATTATATTTTTTTTTCTTTGCTCTTTTTTTTTTTTTAAGATAATAATGTTAACTTATCCATTTGATTTTCATTTTACATCGGCTATTGTTAATCGTGTACCAGCAAGTTTAAAAGATGCTGCAATATGTCAACGTGAAATACGAGAAGTTATTAATATTGAAAAAGCACGAAGACAACATCAAGATTATATTGCAGTATTAAGGTAAATTAGAAAATAGATTGAATAGTATTTTATATTAATAGAATTTCTTACGAAGAATAAATAAGTCATTGATTATTTTTCTGTAATAGGAGATTTATGTTGTATGGATGTAGAAGAAATTCAATTTAGATATTAATAAATTTTATCAATCTGAGACAAGATCAATTCTAATGAACTATGACTTCGGTCAGATTCGGTTATATTGAAAGGGTCTGATAAAAAGTCGTCAATTTTTCCGCATTCTGAACACATTGTAGAATGAAAGTATCTTAGCAGTATATAACTATCTTAATATCAATTTATTAAGATCTCGTTCTTTTTGTGGACAAAAATGTTTAGAAATATTAGAACTCATTATGACAATGACGTTTGAATAACGTTTAATATTGTTCAATAAAAAAATCAATTGTATTTTAGAATAGATTTATTATCTTATAGTCTTATCTTAATTCAAACTACTCATATCTTACTAATCAAAATATGTATGATATTCTTTAAAAATTCAAATTTGTGCGATCGTTCTTTTATAACGATCAAATTAAAATAACAAAATCTCGTATGAAAATGAGGGATAGCAGAAAAGTAATCATCCATAGTAAATTTGATTCATTATTGCGTTTCTGTCATTCATGCGGTTTCATGAAATGAACTAAAGCCAATCTCTTTCAATGCAATGCGTTCACTTCATGGAGCCGCATGGACGATAAAAACACAATAGTGAATCAAATTTACTATGGATAATTGCATTTCTACTATCTCTAATTTTCATACGAGATTTTGTTATTTTAATTTGATCCATATAAAAGAATGATTAAATAAATCTAAATTTTTGAAGAATATCATACATATTTCGATTAGTAAGATATCTCATGTGATAATTATCGGCGGTCTTTTTTTTTCGAAAGTGTTGTATCTTAGTGTACTGTATCACACGAGATGAAAATTTTTCAAGTCTGATAAAACTGATAGGATTTAATTGTTTTCGATGGTTTTTGATAATTTTGATGCATCTGAGCTGTCTGCATTAGCCATATAGTTTAAATCTGTTGTAGTTGTGAAATAAATTTTTATTAGTAAAATATATTCTGCAACTGTTTTCTTCTTGATTAATTTGATTTCCAGTAGATAACATTCTCTATAATTGTATATAGGTGGAATTGACAGTCGTAAGTACTCTTGTCGGTAATCCGAACAAATGTGCGATATGGAATAAGTAATATTTCCATTTGTTTGAATTAAAATAAGGCAATGAGATAATAAATCTATCCTGAATATAATTGATTTTTATTGAAAAATATTGTTGAAATATTAAACATCATCTAAACTTTATTTTTCTGTTCTTTTTCAAGAAGATCACCATGAGTTCGGATATTTCGAAAAATTTTTGTCACTAAAAGGAATGAGATTTTAATGAATCGATATCAAGATAGTTGTTGAGGTACTTTCATTTTAAAGTGTTTTCCGAGTGCAGAAAAATGAGTGATTTTTGATTAGATTCTTTATACTCAAAGGTCTAGATGAATCCAATAAATCTCAAAACACTTCATTCGGATTTTCTATATTTGAAAATATTTAGATAATTTTTCTCTAGCAGATAACTTACATACAATAGTAAATTTTTGTACTTGTTATAGAAATAAAATCATTTCTATTCTTCAATTTATTCGTTTAGAAAACTTGGTTTGGATGTAATTGAGTTACCTGCTGATGAAACATTACCTGAAGGAGTTTTTGTTGAAGATACAGCTGTCGTTTGCGATGGTATTGCACTTATATGTCGACCTGGTTTACCTGGCCGACTTAAAGAAGTAATATTTATAATAAAATTTTCAAAGATAAAATTTTTAATTTTAGGTTGATATTATTCGAACAATACTTAGACGAGAAGGTCTTTGTATAGTTGATATTAAAGATCCATTAGCAACTATTGATGGAGGTGATGTTCTTTTCACTGGTACTTTTTTTTGTTTTTATTAATTCAAATTGAATAGAAATTTTCTATTGATTATTTAGGTCGTGAATTTTTTGTTGGTTTATCAAAGACTACAAATTTAGCTGGAGCTAAAGCAGTTGCATCTGCATTTCCTGAATATCCAGTAACTTTACTTCGAGTATTATTATTATAATTATTCTTATTTTCAATATTACTTAAATTTTGTTTTTGATATAAACTAATTAGGTTAAGAAAGGTGCACATTTGAAAAATTTTGTTTCAATGGTTGGAATGGATACAATGGCTATTGGTGGATCCGATATAGCTAAAGATCTTCTTCGAGTAAGAATATTTGATTTTTATTTTGAAAATAAATAAAACAAAACGTATTTAAATTCTTATTTATCTTTAGCAAATGGAAGAAATGAGTGAATATAAATCATATAAAACAATAACATTACGTGATGATGCTGCAGCTAATTGTTTATGGATTAATGAAATTATTCTTCATTTACCTGCTGATCATCGATATGAAGAAAGTATTCGAGTAATTATTTTATTTTATTTTATTTTATTTGTATATAATAATATAATTATTCTATTAGATTTTAACAAATCGACTTGGTTCAACAGTGTCTCATAGTGAATTATTAAATAGTGAATTTGCCAAAATTGATTGTGTTCTTTCCAATCGATGTCTTCTTTTTAATCGACCAAAAGAATATAACAATAATGATCGATAAAAGCATTTTTGATAAAAGTCATTTTATTTGATAATATAAATTCTAGTCATTTTTATTATTATTTTGTCAGTTAGTCACATTCCAGTTATTCATTTTTTCTGTTCTCTACAACGAGCCTTATATTGTTTAATAAATAAATAATTATATATTTTGATTGATATGAAATTTTTCGTTGATTAAATAATGTTCTACTTTCTCAATCATTGGATCAAAGATGGTATTGTCGAGAAGAATGTAGTATTCATGAACAGCTTCATACTCACGAGCAAGTCTTTCAGCATACATTTTCTTAACGGGAGTAATAAAAGAATGGAATTGTTGATAGGATGGATTTTTATTGTTGTTGACTTGAAAGATTGAATTTGACAAAGAAATTACATAGAAGTGATAACTACAACGAGACATATCCTCGTTAAAATGTATAGTGATAGCAAAAAGTACTAAATATTGTTATGTTCTTCAAGTATACCTGTTACTCACTGCTTATACCTCCAAAAAAAAACTCAGTTTTTACACTGTTCAAATTATTATTATGAATAAACTTGATTATACATTGACAAACAAGCAAAAACATTTTTACTGCCTCATCAATAGTGAAGAATATTGTTTTTGTTCAAAAATTTGAATTTTCTGTTTGATTGAGTTAATTTCAAAAAGATATGGATGCATCAATCATGCGAGTGTATTCACACTGTTAGGATACAGCATTTAATAGCCCGTTTGTACCTTTTAATTCGCAAAAATTCGATCTCATATAATGCAAAGTAACACCGATATCTGGATGTCCTTCCGCAAAACATTTTTGTTACTCGATAAAAGCTCATTCAAATGTTTTACGGGATAATTAATGATTCCTATAATAATAGGCGTGTCTCATGAGAAAACCATCTTGAGAATGGCTGAGTGCATCGAGTTGTCCTATGGATCTTAATGGTTTCTTGACACGCTCTTTCCTTTTGTCTCTAGAAAGTTTTCTTCAAAATACTTGGAAGTACGGTTTCTAGAAAATCGTGGTTTTTTAGGTATCGTACCCGGAAAAAATACGTTTTTGAAAAAAATGAGATTTAGAAAAAAACTTTTGAGTGTGATATTCAGATTCAGCATGGAAAGAAGAACATTTTTAAAAAAATTCAAGTCTCTAACACAAAACCTAGACGTGTCAATTGGTTTTCAAATTTTAAAAACTTCATTTTTCCTAAATTTGGAATAACTCAAGATGAATAGATGATATAATGCTGATTCAAATGCCAATCGATAGAGAATTTAAAACTGAACAAACGTAAATGTTTAACAATATTCACATATCAGGAGACATTGGTTTTCTGTAGTATGTTTAGAAAATTCTTTCTCTAATTTAGCGTATATTCTAATTTTTTTGAGTTTTAAACTTCATTATTCAGCTTTTTATGGTTTCTACAATTATAAAAGAATTAGAATATGATAGTTGACTACTGAAAATGCTTTTTACATTTATATGAACGTACTTTAGTCCAGTTTGTGCGCATGCTATAAAGTCATAATGAAGTTTCCTTTCTTTTTATTTATACAGATGATGTCTAGTCTGCTAACGTCTTCTTCTCTCGATTTCTTTGTATAAATGGACGTGCACAGTCATTTTACTCTATTTATAACTTTTGTGTCATTCATTTCTTACTTCATAATAAGACGTGAGTATTTGTTGTGTTTTATATTATGCCTTCTAGTTGTATAGTTGTTGGTTGTCCGAAAAAGTTCGGTCATGTGGGCAAAGAGCGACGTAAAGTTTCATTCTTTCGCCTGTCAACTGATCCTATAATATTGAAAAAATAGTGTGATATTTTGTCTGTCAACATTAATGATCTTAGTGTGACACATCATCTAAGCATTGTCCAGACAGCATCTGTGTAAACAAAAAAACGAGAAATATTATCATGGCCTTATTAGCATGCGCGCAAATTGGACTAAAGTACGTTCATATAAATGTAAAAAGCATTTTCAGTAGTCAACTATCATATTCTAATTCTTTTATGATTGTAGAAACCATAAAAAACTCAATAATGAAGTTCAAAAACTCAAAAAAATTGGAATATACGCTAAGTTAGAGAAAGAGTTTTCTAAAGATACTACAGAAAACCAATGTCTCCTGGTATATGAATATTGTCAAACACCTACATTTGTTCAGTTTTAAATTCTCTATCGATTAGCGTTTGAATCAGCATTATATCATCTATCCATCTTGAGTTATTCCAAATTTAGGAAAAATGAAGTTTTTAAAATTTGAAAACCAATTGACAAGTCTAGGTTTTGTGTTAGAGACTTGAATTTTTTTAAAAATGTTCTTCTTTCCATGCTGAATCTGAATATCACACTCAAAAGTTTTTTCTAAATCTCATTTTTTTCAAAAACGTATTTTTCCCGGGTACGATACCTAAAAAACCACGATTTTCTAGAAACCGTACTTCCGAGCATTTTGAAGAAAACTTTCTAGAAACAAAAGGAAAGAGCGTATCAAGAAACCTTTAAGATCCATAGGACAACTCGATACACTCAGCCATTCTCAAGATGATTTTCTCATGGAACACGCCTATGGAAGAATGATCACTTGATTTCGTCGAGCAATTTCAACTTCAACAATGAAAATGATTTGCATCGCCATGTTCGAGTTCAGTTCGATGCATTGTAAATACATCGTATTTTAAAATTTCAAAAGTCTTGTCAAGATAGATTCTTGAAGTATTTATGTTTCACCTGCAAGAAGACCAACAATGAATTTAGAGGAAACAATGGCGATGGTTACACTTTTAAAAATTCTTTCATTCAAAAGGAAACAAAGTTTTTCTTTTTTTTATAGTTAAAATGATTACACAAACATAGAAATCATGCAAACCAATGCGGATAGCGCTAGAATACAATTTTCTAGTTACTGCACACTAGAAATTTAAGTTAACGAGAAAAATCATCAGGAGAAGTAAGAAACAATAACAACAAATTTGAAATATATATATATATATATTCTATAACACTAGAATTCAACCGAAGCATAACAACTCGAGAGACACTTTCCTATGTGATTAATCAATGCTATTTAATCTTTGTTATAATTCCTTCTTCAATATGTAGAATTTGATCAAAGTTGAGTAAATGTGCTCGTTCAGTGTGTAACGTTAGAATAAGAATACCCTTGGATCGATACCATTTCATAATATTGTCAATAATGTTCACTGTCGTCTCAGCAGGTAAACCTTGATCAGGTTCATCAAGAATAAGTAGAGAAGCATGGCGATGATGAGCACGATACAAGGCACGTGCCAATAATAATCGTGTCTTTTGTCCACCACTAAGTTTATTTTCCATTGCTTCATCGAGATCTCCATTGAATTCATTTTGAACGAAATCATCAATTTGAACGAGACGAAGAAATTCCCATACGAGTGAATCGAGTTCTGACGTTCTCTTTTGTTTCACTTCATCTTCGTCAATATCAGTGATCATACTGTAGATAGTCGATCGATAATCCATGTCACTATCTTGTAAAACCATTGTTCGACACTTTTCAATTGAATGAAGAGTCATTGATTCTTGTCTGTCATCAATTTTTATCTTAGCCGAATAATCCTTTACTGGTATTGAACCATTTAAAATATCATAGAAAGTCGATTTACCTAGAATAATATTTGCCATTATATCAGCAAATTTCTAAAAGATGATTATACAATGAGAAAACCTTACCTGCTCCACTTTTTCCCGTAATTAATATGGCTTCTCCCATTTTGAATGTTAATAAACCATGATATTGTAAATGGAATGCTTCTCGTTTACCTTCATATCGAAATGAAAGATCTCGAATTTGTAATTCCGAACTCAAATCTATTTGTTCGGCATTAATTCGTTCATCATACTCTTCAAGTATTGGTTTAACAAGATCGTAGTCTTTTATCACTCTTAAATAAGTTATATAGGAAATTAGAAACGTATGAATCGTGTCAGTCAAGGTCGATAAGTAATGATACAATGGAATGATAAATGTACTAGTTCCATTCAATAAGTAGTATACAACAATATTTATAAATGTACATGTTTTACCGAGTATATCTTCTTTGAATGATAATTTAGCATAAAGATAATCAAGTAAAAACCATTCTTTTTCCATATCAATCCTTAATTCATTTGTAATATTGATAATTTTGTCTTTTTCATGATGAATGACATATTCGAACATGTTTGCATTTGCGCGTGAATATTTTGAATGTAATTTATCAAATTTTTCAATCATTTTCAATTTAACAGCAAGTAATTCATTACTCTTCTTGTTTAGATAAAGTCTATAGAAATAGAAATAAACAATACCGATAAATACAGTTGCAATAGGACATATATAAAATATGGTTATCACTGTCATAATAAATTTTGAAACTTCTCTCAATTGCACAATCATGTCTTCGACAAGAAATTGAACAGAAGACGAAGCTTCTTCAATCTTTCGTCGAACTTCCACTTGATCAGATAATTTAATCTTGATCCAATTAGTACTTAGTATTCGTTGATTCAATTTTGTTTGAAATTGTTTTAAAAAATCAAGTACAAACGTCTTCTTTGCTAGATTCTGTTTGAGTAAGCAGTAAGATGTGACATTTTCAAATATGATTAGTAAAATGAGATATTTCAAACCTTGAGTGACATTTATTGTAATGGTAGAGAAAAAGTACACATTCAAATAAGTAGTTAATATCATTGAACTGACACCCAGTATGAACCATTGAATTAAATTAAATGGTTTTACAACAATTATTATATCGAAGATTATTTTGTGCAATGCCCATGGAGATGAACTCGAGAAGAAAATCGGCCACGTTTTTGTCATTAGAACTATTTTAAGATTCTTTCGAAAAATTATTTCTATTTAAATATCTCACTTGCTACTAAATGATATGATGAAAGAACAACAAGTATTGCGAAACATAGGCACATGCTTAAAGAATGATTTCGCAAGAACAGTATTTTTATTGAAGTAGTGACGTTTA